CGCCTGCCCGCTCTCAGCGGCCCTCGGCGCCGACCCGACGGGAGGGCCTCCCTCCTGCCCCGGCCTGCGCTTTAGTCGGCTGCTTCCCAGAGTCCTCGCCTTGTGCCTTAAAAAATACTACGTGGAGTTGATCTTGGCCTAAGGCTTAGGGAAAGAGCCTTGGTAGGAAGACAGATTGAAGACAAGAAAAATCTTGGTTTTTAGAAATATTAGTTATTCACAATAAACTTCAGCCCAGTGCTGCAGCTTACCAACAAGGGGCATAGGAGTTTCAATTGAAAAAAGAACTCACCTATACTTTGCTGTGCTGAGATTTTCCGTTGTTACACTCACTGACCTTTGTTTTATCCTTTGATACCACGTTCTGAGGTAGAGTGGAAAGGTATGTTTTCCGAGAAGTATGTGGATGTGGTTCCTTTTCATTCCGTTTCTCTGTTTCAATGGAGGTTTGATCAACTGCTGTCACAGTGTTAAATTTGTAAGTAGGCCGCCACTGAGGGTGTGCGGAATTCAGTTGAAATGACAACTTTCTTTTGATGTTTCAAAACATGGCCTGGTCTAAAGATGCAAAATTTGAAAAAGCTTAGGACATACGGAACGATTTCACTCTGTATTTTTAATTAGTTGTCATTTTTATTAATTATAGCATTGACATTTGTTGAAGAGTTAGAGATTTCTCAGGTTCTTTTTACTGTATTTGGTAGATTAAAGTATCACTTTGGTCAAGTGAGTTGAGAATAGTCATATTCTTTTAACCAAGTTGGCAAGAGAAAAATGCTGTTGCCTTTGCCAAGCTATAGAAGATACGAAATTTTAAATTATCCTCAAAATCTTCAAAACAGGCAACGAAAGGATTATATTTTATGAAAACCAAGTGTTATTTAAAGTCAGTGTCTTTTGCAAAAGATAATGGAACCGTGATCAAGAAGCACACCTGCCATGTCCATATAGCATTAAGAACTTTTTGTAATTTTGATGTGTTCTTTCCAAATTTTGTACATTTTTGAAGAGCTTTTTAAAAAATCTTTTTTATCCTTTTACCTATGAAAATTGTAGTGAATTTGTAGCTTGGCCAAGGACAGTGAAATATGATTTTTTTGCACCAACAAATATAAGAAGAAATGAAATAAAATTTTAAATAGTGTAAGTGAAAACTTGAGCTGTGTACATCTTAGTATTATCATTTCTTATCTTACTGTATCTAATATTTCACTTTCCATTTGGATAACTGTTAGAATAGGGGCTTTATTTTGCACCTTTGAATCCCACAGGGCCTACCTAGTATGTAAATTTAAAAAGGTGAAAGACTTATAAGATCTGAAGAGAAACCAGAGTATAGTATGTAAATTTATAGTGATAACACTTATTTTCCACTGGCATATTCCTAGATGAATTTTTATTGTAATTTTCTTTTCCTTTTTTTTTTGGTGGTACTGGAAATCTAACTCAGGACCTTGTGAGGCAGGTGGTGGAACAGTCATTTTATTTATATCTTAATAAATATGAGCTTTTTTTTTTTGCCATACAATGTATTTTAATCCACTATAAAGGCAAAAAGTACAAACATTATAATCCTAGGTATGATTTAAAAGTGACATTTGCTTTTTGCCCTTCACTATATGGTGAGACTACTGTTATGAACCAACCTACCCCTCTCTCTCTCTCTCTCTCCCTCT